CGAACGAACCGTGCCGCGCGCTAACGTTATTTTAAAAGTCATTTTTCCCCTCTGCGAGAATCTGTTTCGATATTAAAACTAAAAATGTCACAGAAATTACATGCCAATTGCGAACAAGATTTCTCTCTTTCTCTCTCTCTCTCTCTCTGCAACGCTTGCGTTTCAGATACGTTTTAAATTGTCGAAATAAAATTCGAATACGAAGATACCTGGCTGACGATCATCTTTTAAACTGATGGATGGAAAGTAGAATGAAAGAAAGGAAGAAAATTGACAGCGATATTTAAATTATACTCTGCCATTTGACGATCCAGGTATCACTGAGGTTCTTCCCGCGTGGAAATCTGAGATTGTTGCTGACTTCTCCGATGGGCACCACGTCGACGTTGCTGTTTGAGAGGCCGCGGGATGTTCTTAGCTCAAGCTTCGACGACTGGCCTTTCCTCAGCGTGCACTTCTGGAGCGAGAAGGCGGACGGTCGATGGACCCTGCAGATCATTAACGCAGGAAATCGGCACGTGAATTCTCCAGGCAAGTAACCGTGTCGAAATTGAATTGCCATTTCCTGGATTGAAATCAGTAATTCTTTTGCCTCTTTCTTGCTTTCTTTTCTTCGTTCATACACGTCGAATTCTTTATATCGTAAATTTTCTCTTTTGTCTGTTTAAAGATTCGAAGCTTCGTTTACTTAATTTGATTTTTATTTTTCCAGGCGTCGCTCGTGCCATCGTCAGGCAATTAAGTCTGAGGATAAACACATTTTATTGATATTTTAATAATCATATCGATTGAAAGTAAAAACATAGTTCGTTGTAGATTGTCGTTAGACGAATTCGGAATACTCGCTCGCAGCGGATAAAATTAAACGTTCATCCAGATTTCATTGCTTCGTCCTCGCGCGTGCAAACGTGCACGTCCACTGTGTCTGAATGCATGTTTCGTTGTTGCAGGTATCCTGAAGAAGTGGCAGCTGATCTTCTATGGCACCGCGACCAACCCGATCAGGATACGAACGCGACAATTTAACCCGGTACAAGCGCATTCTTCGTACGCCTCCGTGCATTATCCATTCCATGTAGACGATGATCCGCTAGCACTGGGCCATCGCGGCGACGTCGACTTCTTTCCTTCGTCTACCTTTCAGGGCTACCCGTACGTCGGCGCTGCGTCCAACGTGCAGGCATCGGTGGCCACATTGGACGGCTCTTCGGCGCCGATCCTGACCAATCGACTGCCCGGAGACACGTCCTCCTCCTTCGATTCGCCGTCGTCCTCGTCTCAAGTCGGAGACGACTCGCTCGACACTACTAGAAAGATACTTCACGACTGCGATCCTCAATGCGATCCTCAGGGATGCTATGGCAAAGGGCCGACGCAGTGCATCGCTTGCAAGAATTACCGATTGGACAAGTAAGCGAGATTTTCGTCGTGCCTTCCTTAACACGTTCCGTGCCACGTGTACCACCGGTGGTACACGCAGTCATATTTATTTAATTTATTTATTTTTTTGCAATCGAATGCCATTGATCGCAGTGCCACGTGTACCACAAGTGGTACACGATGTGATAGCTATTGTACTTATCGATTGATGATGTGAATGAAAGATTGTGTGATAATATATCAACCTTTGGTCAAAATATCAAATGGCCTGAAAAGGCAAAAATGGCTTGCCACGGAACGTGTTAACCGAAGATTTTGCTCCACCTGCTTTATCCATTGCGTGATTTATTTTATTTTATTTTATTTTATTTGCACGGCAATCGCTTTGACACAACCACACCTTTTTTTTATTTTTTTTATTTTTTCGGTGACTTGAAAATCTCATCTTCTCAATGATAACATCATTCTTGAATTTTAAATAATTCTCAGCATGCGTTGCATTTTTCCTTTCAAATTTCCAACAAATAATCGAAAGTAGTGCTACATCGCGTACTGCGCGTCTCATCTCAGACATATTCTATGAAGAATATTCTGTTGCCGCGCGCGAGAGGAATTTTTACGTAAACTGCATAATTATACACCGCTCGATATTTCCCTTTCTACACTTTGCACGCGTGTTTCTACGTTCGTCCTGCTGGAAAACTTCGGACAAAGGATGCCGCGTTTGTTTCTAATTAGAAACAAAGGTATCTTGTACAGTTTCGTGGGAAAGGCCGGCGCGCCAGAAATCTTCGGATTTTTGTAAATTACCTCGACCGCGAAAATAAGACGTGGAGGAAGAAAGTTTTAAAATTTCACAGAAAACGTTGCCAGAGTTTCTCAATTTTTCCATGTTTTGTAGGAACAGCGGCACGTTAAGGCACGTT